TAACAAATGTAGTCTGGGGAGCAAATTCTGTTCCAGAAAGAAAATTTTCCAGGCTTTCAGCTCCACAAAACCATTATTTTTTTGATTCTCTGAACCAAATGAAGTTAGTGCAGTGTCAGAAAACTTCTCTATTTCTTTGGTAACGCTAGATTGCTTTTTGCTAGCCATCTGTAACATTTTTGTCTGCCTTTCATTCCAACAGCAACCTGGTCCCAGATCTGAACGCCCAGGGCTGCACCACCTTTATCTCCTCCATCCTGTTTTCCCTACAGTCCTTTTGGACCTCACCAATGCAACAGATAAAGTCATTGCTTCAGCAAGTGAGTACAAATGGAGGAGAGACTGCACAGGCTAAAAGAAATAAGAGGAAGGGAGAGTTCGCTATGAGAAACAATGTGGTCTCATTTTGCCTACAGTAAATGTGTGTGGTCCACCACACATAAGCCAGAGATGGGAAGTCACGTTGCTGTTCCTCCTGAAGGAAGGTCCTGTCCAACCTCTACTTTGTAAATAAAAGACCCACCAAGTTTCATTTACACGTTTAAAAATGGGAAAGTTGGAGTTTGATTTCACGCATGTTTTGTACCAGAGAAGTTCCCTTACTTTCCATGGAGCTTTTTATTTAAGGCAGTGCATGAAGAATCACTATGGTACTTCTTTGTTACCTCAGATACACTTCTGCCTTTGTTGGCTGTGTTCTGCTCTCTGAGATAGCAGCTATGTTGCTGTTTCCACTTTCTTTTTGAAAGTGAGAATCCAAAATATTTAAATGTGTGTTTTTAAGGAACAGTGGATCTAGATTTATTGTCTATACAAGATCATACAATCCCTGTTGGATTTCCTTGCTTTTCTACAGTAGTTTAATCAACAGCCAACTTGTTGGGCATGACAGGATGTGGATTAAAAAATCAGTTCATGTAGGACTGAGTCCAGTTGACCAGGAAGCAGGGAGAAGATGCTACATAGCAGTATGTTTAATCACAGTTGTATCAAAAAACACAGCTTGGTCAAAAATAAATAGAAATCATTTTAGAGGGGTTTATTAGAAACTGGGATTTCTGAGATCTGTACAGATCATTCTGTGGTGGCTGGAGTGAACTGACTTGCCCATGCCTTACCAATTTCCCATTCTGTAGAGGTAACAATATCTGCTAATAGGAGTGGGAAGGAATGCTCTATTCAGGTGAACTGCATTAATTAAATATGTACATCTCATATGTCAAACTCAAACCAGCACCTGGAACCAAAAACTTCCATTTCTGATTTCCTTTTCAGTTTATTTACACAGAAATTTTTTAACTTAAAATTGTTTGCCCTAATGAACACATGAGCATGCAATTGGAAAATCAGAATATACCCTCAGTCCAGTGGATGTTTTGTCTGAGTAAAGAGGAGGGTTTCTTTTGGGAGAAGCATAATCATTTACTCCTTGCCAATATTTTCTCTCTCTTTTCTGATGGGCCAGTTGGAATTAACGATCTCCAGAAGGATGCATTTCACATCACTGTGACAACAACTGCAACCTCTGAAAAACAGCCAGGATTTCTCTCAGTCAGCAAGCTGGGTTTAAAGTGGGCCATGATGACTCAAGGTCGAATGGTGTGGCTAAAGGACTCCACCACTCCCAAAATCAGCCGTGGAGAAGTGAGGCGATTTCTTGCCCGGCTAAAATTTGTTGACTTTCCTCACAAGGTGAGATTGTGCAGGATTCTTTGATGAAATCCAGGTTGTTGAGGACGTCTGATCTCTTCTGTACAAGCACATTTAGGTGCTCTTTATAGGGTGGGATGCAGATTGACTGCAAGGTGACCACCTGCCCCTTTGGGCATAAGCTGGCCAGAGTATGAGGCCAAGCTGTAATTTTGACAATTGGACAAGGAGAGGGATCTTAAAAAGAGCCAGGGATGGTAATCATAAGGGACTGAGGGAATGGATAAGTAGAACAGAAATCCCTTGTTTTGACATGGGCAAACATCAATCCTCTCTTCAGTGGTGCCCAGGTTCAGTTGCTCTCCCATGAAGTACCAGTTCTATCTACCAGACTGGATGATAATGGATTTTGGCTTTGTTTTTTGTTTCCCTTTCCTTTTGCAGCTCTAGCCTAGTGGTTCCTCAGATTTTGGCTGGACCTATGGCCTGCATGGGGAATAGAGGAAGCTGCTCTGTGGATCTTCAGGAAAACTGCTGTGTAGAGGGAATGGGGGCTAAAAGCACTTCCCCTTTCTTCAGCTCTGGGGAATGCTGCTGGAGGCAGGTTTGTCCTAGGCAAACCTGTCCTGTACCAGAGGAACCTTGTTCAGCGTCTCCCCCTCCATAATGCTGTTCTTGCATGCTTCCTTCCAGGTAACATGGAAATGTGAATTTAGAGCTTATATACATACATATATATACAACTAGGTTATATGGAAAACTATTGTTTTCCAGTTATATATATATGTATGTATCAATTTATACAATACACGTATATTTTTTGTATGTTTAATTTATGAACAGATGTAGGACACTCCTTTTTATGTCCAAACAGTATTCCCAGGCAGACAAACAAGCTCTAGGCCTAAGGTGGGCTATGATGACTCGAGGCAAATGGTGTGGGTAAAGGACACATCTATTTTAATGTTTATATTTTTGGAAAGAAGCCTCCGTCTGGCTCCTGCAGGCCAAGTCTTGTCTACAACCTTTCCTGTGCTCTCAGTCCTCTTCTCCATTCTGTTGCCAACCTCACAAAAAAAACTCTTTTGCTGAACTCCCTGATCTAGAGAAAGTAGGCTGCAACAGCATTTCCCAGCCTTTGCACTTGTGTATTTTTTTTCCCAGTCCCAAGTTCAAAACAAGTTAATGTGGGTGACGTAGAAGCAAAAGGTTCATATCTCAGTTCTACCTCCTGTTCATCCATCCTTAAGCTTTTTATGAACCTGAAGTGTCACTGCAATGTCATACTGCAGTCCAGTGGGCTGAGTTCCCCCTTGAAAAGCATTGCAGCCCTTTTGGGATAGACTCCCAGCAGATCCCTGCTGGAACTATGAAGATCACAATAGATCCAGTTGCAGAGAAGCTGATTCTCACTACTGCTTCAGGTTTTGGAGGCTCAGACAGAGAAGCAGAGATGGAAAGCTTTTCTGTGCACTTGACCCATATTCTGGGCTCAGCTTGACCATTCTCCTGCCAGCCCAGCTCTATGTGTAGTTCCAGAAAGAGCAGACTGCCCCCAGGGCAGGTTTGCTCTCAGTACATTTAGTGCTTTGAACTGTGCCTCTGAGTGTTCCATCAGTCTCCCGCGTTGTAGTTGCAGAGCATCTACATGAAGCTTCCTGCGACAGAAATGACCATGTATAAATTGGCCACTTTGGTGCCCTGGTAGCTCCCAACAATGCAGGACAACAGCATGTTGCCTGTTTTGCAAACATACCTTTCTAGGCCTGACCGTTGCCATTAGGCAGAACCAGGCTGAGGTGAGAACTGCAATGGCTCTTCTGCCCTCCTGCTGGCATGTAACCCTTCCTGCCTCCCTGCACTTTCCTCCGAGTGGTGAGGTGATGGCAGGACTTTGATCCTTCCTCCACATGGGCACAGCTACCATGGGTTTACTCTCCAGGGCTCTTGACACCTCTTCTTGCGATGTCACCCTTTCTTCTCCCTCACTGCATCTATGTGCAAAGCTTCCAGGATAGCTCTTCAGGATTAGCTGCAAACCCCAGGGCTGGTCCTTGGGCCCTTCTCTCCTAATGTCAGACCCTGAAAACAGTTTGTATATGTTTAATGGTATTTTTGTGTAAATAGCTTTGTATATATTAGCACAACTGTAGCAACAGCTCTAGGCCTGGGATTTTCCTCCAGACAGAGGTTAGTATTTATAATATTCAGTTAGTTAATACAGATGCATAATAGGGACTAAAACCGTGAGGATCAGTAACATATGAAGATTATACAGGAGTGCACCTTTCCTCCTGTCTAGCCACCACCTTGCTGGGAAAGGTGAGGCATCTGTTATCTGTAGTTACTCTCCTGAGGTTCTTCCCGAGAGAACTGATACTTGAGTGCAGTGACACTAGCTCCTCCATAATGTGAATTCACCCCACCCGCACACACACGTCCCCACTGTGAATAAAGAGTCTGTCTGTATATTGTTGGGAAAATGTATTTGAACTGTGAACCGCAGTGGAGCAAATAAATACTGTGTACAGCATCAGTGTGTCATATGAGCCACCATTTCACTTTTGAGGGATTACGAGTTTGCTTGATATGGGGCCTGTTGGCATTATTTTTACAGTAGGGGAAAAGGGGTCTGGTATAAAGAAACAAAAAAAAGGAAAAAGTCCAGATGAGTCTTAAAGGTTGTGGGGAAGCACAGTAGAAAGACAGGAAAGTATCTCAGGATAGGAGCTGGAGGGGGCAAAACAAGGAGGGAGTATTTATGGGAGTCGTTACAGATAGGAAAGAGAAAGAGAGAGATGTTTGGGAGCAACCCCCCATTCTTCAGCAGCACTTTTAACCTGGGGGTGGGGAGAGGTGACAGGGCCTGGAAATGAGGAATAAATAGTGTTCAGAGAAGACTGCAGCAAATCAGTATGGGCACCCATGCCCAACTCTGAACCAAGGGGGCTTGCTGGAGTGACAGTGTGACACCACCCAAAGAGGCCCAGCACTACAATTTGCCAGCTGGATTGCACTGAATGTATCTATGCCGTAGTGCAGTACTGTTGGGATTAGGACACCTGCCTCAATTCTGTCAGAGAATGCTTGTATACAGCTGGCACCAACAACATCTACCCCCATTTTCATCCTTCCCAGCTGAGGACACCCTTCAAGCTGTGGTCAGAGAGGACCCACATTGCTCCTGTTGGCACTGCCATTGCTCTGTCCCAGTGCCCACTTTTTCTTCTCACTCCCCGAACATTAGAGGAAGGAAGAGCTCTCCATGAACTTGCTAATAGTGGTGTTGGTGTTTGGTTCAGAGCTTTTTGCCTCCCAAACCCCACTGCTCTGCCCCAGTGCATTGATCCTTAACAGCGATCTTCCCCGATGGTCTGCCCCAAGACCTCATCCAGCTCCAGCTCTGGTTCTCGCTGTAGCACTTTCTGCTGCAGCTCAGAGTAGAAGTCAACTCCCTCAGACACCGAGTGGAGGGGCTTGTCTCGGGGCTCGTAGTAGCTGCTTATTTGCTGTTGTATGAAGTACTGCTGGTGCTGAGGCTGATCCTTGAAGCTCGCTTCGTAGCCCTTGATGTGGTTCCGTTTGAACTCCAGCACTGTCTTGGTGTAGGTGTTGAGAGTGGTGACAGCAGAGGCCATGCAGCAGGTAAAGGAGGCCCAGGCCATGCTACAGGAGAGAAAGAAGAATAACATACGCCATGAACTGAACTGCATGCACCTTGATATACCCCGATTTGCCAGGTAGAAGCTGCTGGGCAAATGATCTAGCTGCTGAACTAGAAAGACTAGAGGTGTCAGGCTCATAACATTACAGTGCTTCACTGTTATCCCACCACCAATCCTTCTCCTTAGTCATGGGTTAAACACTGGTCATCCTTGACACTGGGAGGAAGGGCTATGGGGAAAATAAAAAGGGCAACAGGAAAGTCTATCAGAGCAGGGCAGCATGGCTTGGAAGCAAGCTCTGTAAAGCTGGGCCGCTTGGTGTCTTCCCAGACACAAGGCATATGTATCTGAGCATAATCAGATGGCCATGCTGACACTTGATGTCCACAGCTGGCACATGACAGTGGAGCATTCAAGTCTTAAAAATCAACTGGCCACCATCAGTACAGCATTGCAAACAAGAGTCTGTACCTTCCACGGACATAGCAGGCCTCATCCAACTGTTTTTCAAGTCAATTGTGGTATATCAGCTGTGTCATTCTTTAGCCTTCAGAGAAAACAATCCTGAGCCACCGGCTTTTTATATCTGCTCTTCCTGGTTCTAGTGTCCAAATCTTTAACCATGTGTGACAGGAACAGGCCTTTTGGACCTTGCTCAGTGAAGATGTCAAACCAACATGCAATTTTATTTAAATGGCAGAAAAGCAAGGTATGTTTGAGAGCAACATCACAGGTGTGACCATGGCCTCCATACACAGGGAAGAGCTGAGACTAAACAGGGCAAACCAGCACAGGGACAGGCCTGATTAGTCAGCAGGTTAGAAGTAATTGTTGAGGTGTGACTCCATTGTTTTACGAGTCCTTGGTAACTACTCATTTAAGTAACTCAGTAACTATTTGTTAAAGCAGGGAATGAGGCAAAGGCAGGAGATTTAGCAGTGTGAGAACTATGGTACACCTGTCTTTGGAAGCACAAACAGTCTAGAAGAAGAGAGTTTTGCCGAGGTATGGTATGGCTGAAGACCAAGTGAAGATGGTTTTAGAGCTCACATACTAGAAAGCCCAGCCGTAGTCCCATGAGTGTGGTCTCCAGTCCTCTGGTCCCAGATTAACCGTGGCTTGGAAGACTTGAGTGTACATCATGTGTGCCACCATCCCAAGGAGACCTGATGGGAGAAGACAAGAAAGAAAGGAAGTTATGGAAGGAGCCTGAGCTGCACTTTTCAGCCTTGTGTGAGAGGGGGCATTCCTGCTGCTGTGCATGGCCAGAAGCTGGAACACCACCTCTGCAGGGCTGCACCTACACCATCATCTCCTTGCAGTTCCCCATCACTGTTTCTCCCTGCTCATGTTCTCTTCAGCCACATGCTTTTTACTGCCCTTTTCACTTTGATTCTCATCAGCTGAGGTGAGTGAATGTGAGAGACTCTGTGTTTTATGTGTTTTTTTTCTGCCCACATGTACCTGTTGCTGCCGTGCCTTAGGGTAACACACTTACCTGACAGCACTGAGGAGACAGCAGCAAAGGCATTGAGCTTCAGACCACAGACAGGATTGCCAGTATGCAGCATTTCCACCATCAGGAGGATGAAGCTGATGAGCAGCAGGCTGATGTACAGCATCTCTGACCCCAGTGACAGCCACAGGATTCCTGCCAGGAATCAGAAACCCCTCATATCAATGCCAGGTGGCTTGTTTGAGGGAGAGTACTCCCCCTTCACAACCCAAACCTGAAAGGATGTCTGTTGGAAAGAAAGGAGAGAAGGAAAACAACCAGCCCCCAACAGCAATCCTCCCAGCTTGTGAGCAAGGGCTTGAAAGATGCTGAAGGGGACAGAGAATCTGCCACAGAAGATGGCTTGACTGCAAAAGATGAGAGGACCTAAAACAGCTATCTGTATATAAGCCAGCGTTATTCACAAACAGCGATGAAGAAGCCATGGGAGGACAGACGGAGGCAATACCACTGAGTATTAGCACAAGACCTAGCAGTCATAGGCAGGCCGCAAACATCTCAGCTGGACGTTGAAATGTTCTTACCCATTAGTGCAGTGACATACAGAGCAGATTTATAATCACAACAGTGGAACAAAATTAATTTCAATCTGGAGCTCATCTGGTTAAGAAAAGAACTGCATGGTACATCCATGGTGATAGCTGGGACCTGGGGCTCTGGAATTCACAAAGCCCCAGGCAGGCCTGTATTTCTCACTGAAACCCCAATTAAATTGAAAATGCATTCCTGGGGGTGGATACCCAGCTAGAACAGTAACATTCATCACCCGCCCTGCTGCTTAAATGGAGAGCAGGTAAGGTTCGTGCTGGGTTTATCAGTGGGACACGAGTGATAGCACAGTTCTTAGCACGGCTCACTGTGTGCCAGGACTTGGAGCTGAACAGGGAAAGGCACTCTAACGCTGGGCTCTGGAAGGGTGTGGGAGTCACTGAAAAAGGCAAATGAAGAAGCACTGTGGGCACTACTGTTAGCAACCGTTAATGGCCTTAGAGGAGCCATTCCACTGGGGAAAACAAATGTGAAGAAAACCCTCATTACTGGGGTACTGACTCGACTCCTTAGCATCATTAGTCCCATGGAGTCACCCAGCTCTTCAACAGCAACTGATGGGACGCATTCCCAGCTTAGAGGAGCTGCTCCGCAGGCCCGGGCCATCCTGAGGTGATGCTGTGTGCAGGAGGGGGTGAAGGCAACTGATGGAGCTGTTACACTGGGAGTGTTGCTCACAGTGATCTTCCAATTAATTTTGAAGAGGTCAGTGTCGTACACAACAGGGACTTTCTTTCAGATTTGTGTTGAAATGAGGCAAGGAGCAGTAGGAGGAGTGTGAGGGGGGACAGACAGAAAGATTTACAAAGATGCATACTTTGGTTGCATAAACCTATTCTCTTAGGAAAACTGGCTATAGGGAAGACACTGGAACCACTAGAGCCAGAGACCTGGCCAGGGAACAGACCACAAGATGGTAAGAAAGCAGAAAAACGAATTACTGCTCCCTGTGAACTGAGCAGCTTATGTTAAATGCGAAAGTAATTCTTACTGCAGTCAAGTCATTCAATTATGACAAAATGGAGATCTACATGACTTCAAAATGATCTTGTAACATCATCACTATTTGATTTCTGTAAAATGCTGTTTCCAGAAAGAATAAGCATGAGACATTACCCTGCCGTGCTGTTCTGCTGATACTGACCCAGTTTAATCTGCACAGTGACTCCACAGCGCATCACTCACACTGGACCCCCCCCATGCCTGTGAATGCACGGGACTTTACAAAAGCAGGTCGTCATTCTTTGCCATTGTTTTTATAATAGGAAAAGCAAGGCAGAGAAAGAAGATGAGCTCCCCAAAAGCACTCATCTTCCTGGCAGCTGTTACAATACCCCAGCGTGTGTTCCAGCCCTTGCTTTCACAGCTTAACCAGTGGTACCTACACCCCAGGGCTTTCCCCTCAAGCATGAATGTCCTCTGAAATGACATGTCTCCAGTCTCCAGCCCTGGGAGCAGTTAGCAACCCCACACCACTTGAAAAGCTTTTGTTAAGAATCCTAAATGAAGTTTCCATCACATGTGTGCACATACATCCAGGTAACTGAGGTTTAATAGAATCATAGTTTCCCTCAGGATAATTTGAAGCATCTGGGAGGAAATCTTTGTTTGTTTGTTTGTTTTTCCTAGCATCCATGAGGCCAGGATTTCACACCTGACTTCAGGGACCCACCCTGCTGTCCTCACAGCAGTGGTTTTGCAGGTCACTTGTCCCAGGGGGGTGGTACACTGGACAGCTATGGCATGATACATGGATTTGCTCTTACCTCTCTCTGCTGGTGGGGAAAGCTCAATAAAGCTACGGCATTTCTCCTCTGAAACACAAAAACAAGTGTATTAGCTTGTAAAATAATGTAGGGTAAGGCAAAAGAAAACCTCTCCCCCTCTCTCTCACTTAACTGCATTGCTCCAGTCATCTGAGCCTACCCACCAGATCTTCTCACTTGTGCTCTCTTTCTGACCATCTTTCCATATCTTCACGGGGGCATGGCAGGAGAAGGCGATCTCCTAGCAATGTCTCCACCTCTCTCTAGGAGGTGGCCTTTCTAGAAAAATTTCAGCAATCTGTAAATGAGCCTCTAGTAAATATATAAATCTGTTGCTACATATCCACCACATTACTACAAGACGTCAATGACTGTTGCTCAGGCCAATTAAGGTGTAGCTTATAACACCATAGACCGAGCGCTGCTGCTGAGTACATGCACTTCTACTCACCTCAGGCTCAAGCAAAGCAATTTACAACTCTGATTTCCCAAGAAGAATAAAAAAAATCTTTCCTGTGAAGTTCTCCTGTGATAGAGAATCACACAGAAGTAAAGTCTTCTGTCCTCACATTTTAGGAATGCTATTTAGACAAATTCTTTTGTTTGTGTTTGCTTTGGCTTTTTATAGTGGCCAGATGCAAACTGTTATCTCAGCTGAGGGTCCACCATTATTATGTGTAAGTCTTTCTTAGCACTACTCTATACTGCATTTGAGGGTTCTGTCCCCTACATGGCATGGCATTTTCTCCCAGAAAATACTAGCCTGCAGCTTTTTTTGTAAGAATCTCATTTCCTCGATGTCTATCCCCAATTCTAATCTCTCCCAATCCCCTATATTACTTCTATCATCCATGGCTCTCAGGATGCTACCCAGTTTAGTGCCATCTGCAGTCGTCATTAACTTGCTGTTTGCTACATCACCTAGAACTTTAATGAGGTTCTTCATAATGGCTCATCTAAAGCTGATCCTGAGATTAGCCTGAATAATGAAATCCTTTCTCCAGCTCAACTCAAACTCCTTTTGCTGATCATAACCCCTTTTTTAGTTGTTGCTCTGCACTTGCTTCCAAGACCCACAGCAGTGGGTGGCTTGTACTCAATTCAGAGGCAGCTGGGGACCAAGGCTGTCTCTGTACTCTACCCCATGCTCTGCTGCAATCCAGATGTAACCTGCTCTCAGCATTCCTTCAGGCATTGAGGTTATTCCAGGACTGCCTGGTGGCCAGACAATTCTTTCAGAGAAAGCTGTCAAATGATGTAGTCCCATTTCCATAAGCACCATGGAAACACACTCCAGCCCAAACCAGTCCCAAATAAACACACCTCTTTGCACAGCATATCTGGAAATGCTCATAATGAAGCAATCTTCTCACTAGGACATGAGAGTTTCAAGCACTTTCCTGCTCCTGTCTCTCTTCTGTCTGCCTTTATTCAGCTTTATTTACTTATGTAATTTTCAAACTCTGACAGCAACAGATAAGAAAGCAAGAAATGCTATACTAGAGTGGTTGGTCAGTTAAAAGAAGATGAGACACTTATGCTTGGGGAGAACTGAAGGGAGGGCAGTAGGCTCAGGGGAATGGGCCTGATGAAAGAAACTTTCATCATTGCATCTTTAGTTACAAATCTCTCTGTTGGCCACCTTCTGGGTCAGTTCTGATCCCTGATGTGTGAAGCAGGCTGTAAACAGCATCTGTGCACTGCAGAGTTTCCACCTGTACTGGTGTGGCACCGGTTCCTGCAGAAGGCCTTCAGCAGGGCTTGGAAGAAGCAAATCAAGGGTGAACAGAGACACCAAGGGGTCTAGGACAGGCTGCATGACAAGCTCCTGGAACTCCAAGGCCTACTGTGACAGCCACAAATGGTCAAAAATCACAAATCAAACCTATCACGATACCAAAAAAATATTAAAAACGACAATACTGCAGCTCTAATCCTCAGGTCAATTTTCATCCTAATTTTGGTTCCTCTGTGGTCAGATCCTCAAGTTTTTCCCTGCACTTATAACATAATACTTCCTTTTTTTTTTTTTTTTTTCCTTTATTGTTTTGCATTTGTTTAAAAAAAGCCCAGTCCCTGTTCAATTCATATAACTCCTCAGTTTGGTGATTTAAGGAGAATACCAACAACTGAAGTCCTCACAGTTGTCAACTACACACTGACAACACTGAATAAAATCACCATGCTTCAGTTTCCCAGGAGATGTGCACAAATGAGCCCTTTAGAGCATGAGCTGAGCTTTGTGTAGGAAAGAGAAAGGAGGCCCACTCCAGTTCACATCAGGATGAACGGTGCCACCACTTTCACTTCACAACCCCTATTCCAGGCAGAAGGGCACACCAGAGACAGACATTGTCTCTTGCCACCCCCATAAACATCTCAACGAAGGACAGAAATATAATGACAGTGTGCAGGGCTGGTGCCATCTAGGAAAATGAAGACAGCTTTTCTCCGAAGCATTGTCAGCCTCTGCCTTTCATTTCCAAACTCCCGTGGAATAAAATCAAGGGAAGAAGCTGTGTCTGGCTGGGCAAGATGCTACCTGGCCCTTCCATGCTCTCTTCGCAGGAAAGCCACATCCCCGTGTGGAAATATCTGAAGGCAAAGCGGTCATCCCCAGTCTCCCAGCTGTAGTGCACCACATCCTGGGATGAAGCATTGCTAGCACCTGCATCGGGCGGCATGGGGACACCAATGCACTTGGTGGCTTTACTCTTCCCACACAAAGGCTTGGGCACTTTCTGGGTCCCAGTGCACCAGTAGCTGCCGAGCAAGGCGGTGGTGGAGAGGCTGAGAGCCAGCAGGTTCAGGATGACTGCCAGGAAAGCACGGCGCCATGGCAACACCTTCAGCAGCTCCATCTGCAACACACAAACGGTGGGACCGTCACACCAGCCATTTGTCCCACCTCATGTTATGAACCCTAACTCTTCCCAGGGGGCACTTGTGGGGAGGGGATATGTGTCGGAGAAACACTCTGCCCTACCCATGATGTCCCAACATCTCACCCAGCAAGGAAGGACAATTTCCTAAAAGCCAGGGTGACAGAGCAATAGCTCAGTTTCAACCACTTCAAAATACACCAAATGTGTGTACGGGGGAAGACCAGGTGACCCTGTGGACCTACCGTGGCTGAGTGCATCAGTGTGTTTGAGTACAAGCAACATGCAAGGGGTGATCATGTTCACCCCATCTCGGAGACGGTAGGGAAAAGCTGTTAACCAGCTTCCCCAGAATGTCATGTATTTCCATTAGATGGGGCATGATGAATGTTTTGTCCAACTAAATGAGAATTCTTACTGCCAAGTGTCCCACAACACTTCTTCCAGCATCATTCATACTGCACCTAGAAGGGCAGGTAGGATATTGATTTCATAGTGGGGAAAGGCAGGGAAATGTTCCCAGATCCCAGTGAAGGTCACACTTCAAAACAGTGACCTGCCCAAGAGGGACACCCAGGTATTCACACCCAGCAGCTTGAGTTCAAGCCACAGAGCAGCACCTCCCACCTGAAGCAAGCACTGCTCCGCACATCAGAAATTTGGTAGGGCTGGTGGATGACAGTGTCTCTGCTTTCATACCAAGTGCGAAAAGTGTTTTTTTTTTAAGAGTGAATGTTGTCACAAACACTCTTCCCAGTTTCATCTCCTCAGAATAAGGAATTCTGAAAGCAGGTTGTATACCAGGGTCCTTCGGTCTTTCTCACCCAGAGAGAAGCTTAAGATTTTAAGGTTCCTGTAAAACCCTGCACTGACTTCTGAGAACCCCATCTTATCACGCCATGGATTGATTAGATGTCATCTACCCACACATCAACTTTCATGTAATCAACGCATACCTCTTCCCACATTGTACTCCCTATGTTTGGCACAACTTCATCCAGCTACTCCCACCCTTTCCTATTTATGACTCTTAAAATCTATTTGGCCATGAATAGATTCAGTTTGTACAGACATTGCCTGCTTCTGGGCCTCTTCACATAACTTCTGTTGACTCACCCAACATTGAATGTGTGAGAAAGGCCCAGCACACTGTGGACACCACTATAAATAAATGATAAATAAATGATTGCATTGTTTGTGACAGTCTTACAGGATACAGCCAAAAGTAGTGCAGTTAGAAGCATTTGTTAGAACCAGCAAGCTCAGAAATGTGGTCAATAAAGATAGTGCTGAAGCTCTGCTTGGAAGACAGGACTCGATCAGCATCTCATCACAATGAAAAAACAGTGCCTAATCCAGAACATTCTCACCAAGGGCACAAAAATACCCAGCTTCTGAGAAATTCCTACATTGTCTTATGCTCTGGCTTCTTTTGTCTCTTCTTTAGAACATTTCTTTTTTTCAGCAACAGAAATGCTGCACCCTGGAGATGGTACTGTCTCAGTGATACAATAACAAATGACTTCCATGATCTGAAGGCATGCTGGGTACAATCAACTTTCACAGAGTGGATATTTGCCAGGAACACATGAATGTATGAACATATTAGATGAATATATAATATATTATATACACTTAATATATATGAATATTATATATATATATATATATATATATATATATATATTTATATCCATATAATATATATGGATATATTATATGAAGGTTTCTGGCTAAGGTTGGTGGCAAATTCTTCTTAAAGTTTTTTCAGCAAAAAAATTGGTTTCTGACTTAAAAGGAAATTATAGATAAAATTGTCTCAGAAACATGACTTTTCATCTGAAAATAGAAGCCTTCGTGCCACAGTTTTTCAGTTTTTCTTCAATTCTTGATTATATTTTCTGTTACCAGGTTTCAGTTTGCTCATACTTTCACTGTAAAATAATCTTTCCACTCAATAATTTGACACACCCAACACACACAAAATATTCTAATTTGCACTCTTCAATATTGGGAAAAAATATTCTCTCCATTTGAATTTGTATTAGTAGCGTCAAAGGCCATATCATTTTCAGAAGAAGTGATAAGAAAAAGAAAACCAGAAACGGAAAAAAAGAAAAATGACAAGGAAAAGAAACGAAAAAAGAAAAAAAGAAAACGTAAAAAGAAAAGAAAAAGAAAAGAAAAAAAGAAAAGAAAAAGAAAAGAAAAGAAATTAAAGAAAAGAAAGAAAAGAAACGAAAAGAAAAAAGAAAAAGAAAAAAAGAAAAGAAAAGAAAAGAAAAGAAAAGAAAAGAAAAGAAAAGAAAAGAAAAGAAAAGAAAAGAAAAGAAAAGAAAAGAAAAGGGACTAGTCAGAAGAAGGAACTGGATCAAGGGTGCCGAGGATGTAGGAGACGAGAAGCAAATCAGAAATACTTCCTGATGAGAATACTTTCAGTAAAGTTTCCTTCCATAAAAGCCACACACTTACAATAACTGACCACAGTATCTAGATAGCCCCAAAAGGAAAGAGGGTTGAATTTACCTTACCAGGAAGTCCTTGAAGTCCTGTTAATTTGGAGGAGTAATACAGAAATGGAACTCACACTTTGTCTTCTGTTTTGCTCATCTCTAAATTTTCCGAGAAACCAAACTGCTCCAAACCCTCTTTCTTTTCATCTCCTCCTCCTCCTCCTCCACCCCTCTCCCCATGATCATTACAAGCTATCCCTCCAGCCAGCAGCTGTTTTGTGGAAAATGGTCATTTTATAATCCACAATGCAATCACAGCACAGCTGTTCTGGGAGATTATATGGGAAGTGCTTGGTGCTGTGGGCTGGGATTAAATGCAAAAGGGCGACCTGCATTCAGCGAGTAAAACGTTTCAGTAAAACATGAAAAGATCCCAGCCATCTCTGGACACTGGCTCTTTGGGAGCTTGAATGGAACGAGCTGCAGCTCTCTGACTGGTGCTGCAGGGGACATGTGACCTTAGCTCAGAAATTAACAACACTATTGGCATCATCTAGCCCCTTGCCCTGTGCACAGCCTCAGTAGGTGACAAAGACCACAAGCCCCCAGCCCTAGGATATCTTCCTGGCCAGAGATGCCAATCATAGAAATGAGAGAAATAGGGTACAGAAAGTTCATGCAACTGCATCTGCTCTGAGGACTGCAGTTTCAGACCCTAAAGAGATATCAATCCAGCGTTCCCCTTGGGAACTGGAGTTTTAATGAAAAAAGAAGCCCATTAGCAGAAGCAGTGCTGAGTGACACTGTGGCATCACCACAGGGACAGAGGTCTGTGAACCAGTGACAAGTCAAGCCCAGAACTCAAAGGATGCTGTCCCTCGTAGTGGCAGCCTTTAACGAGGCATAAAGTTCACCAGGAATTTCAGCTCCCAGCAGCTTCACATTGGATGGGTTTGGGAAGCTAGTAAGAGAGACAGAAAGATTCACATTCACTCAAAGTCCCCTCTGTGCTCTTGTCCTAAAAGTGTAAAGGTCCTACTGTACTTGAGGGTTTTGTAACAGCTTGTTTGGCATCAGAACAGCAAGTAAGAATGGCATCACCTCTCATGAGAAAGAGTAGTTGCTAGAGGACATGGAGCTGCTCCACACCGAATCGAAGTACAAGGGAGAGGAGCATCCCAAAGATGCACACCGCACCATGCCCACAGGACCCCACAGCTTTGCTCAGTGCTGTGGTGAGGTTCCTACTGCTGCAGGAAGTGAGCGAGGCAGGAGGTGCCCCACTGCTCTGCTGGGATGGAGGAAACCAGCGGTCCAGCTACTTTCATCCCCTGCGTCTAGCACCAAAGAGCTCTGGGTGCAGGACAGCCCGGGGCAGCCCCTGTACAGCCGAGAAGTTCAGGAGTCTGCACATGGGCAGTGCTGTCACAGGCTCCTGACCCTTCCTGCCCTCAGTGGTACAGCTGGGAGCTGTGTGGTTGTTTTAATCCTAGCCACTGCATAAGCTCCTCTAATATAGATAATCATCTCTAAGATGGGCTAACTGAAAGTAATGCTGAATGTTTTTGTGCTTCATAGGCTGTCTGCAAGTTTTTTGATTAATAGCAAGGCTCTGTTCAACACAGATGTACTTAATGTACTGAAGGAGGTATAGTAACAGCTGATGCTGTTTAAAAAGGGAGTGGTAATATTTTTTCATTGTTCATTCTCTCTGCATCTGGACACCTTAAGTTTGGATTCTTTATACCCAGTTGGGCTTCTAAATGCTCAAAACAAAACAAAACAAAAACTGGTTTTCAAGCTCAAAGATACATACAATTAATCTCAATACCAATAGTCCCCAATGTTAACATGTTCTTAATTTTATGCATGATGAATGTCTCATTAAAATCCAGGATGCTACGTCGCTTTCTAAAGCTAAGATTGTGGCATATATATTGATGAAAAGAGACTGAATTTACATTTATATGGATAAGAATTCAGGTTTAGAAAACAGATTTATCAGAATTGTACTATGGCTTCAAAAATATATCAGACTTAGTATTCTGAATAATGGCATATATTTATCCTTCCAGAAGATGGCAATATTACTCTAGTCTTCATTTTGGGAGTCTGATGCTCACGTGTGTGCTGGGGGGAATTGACACCCAAGTTTAGACTTCTATTCCTTCCTTTTTTTTTTTCCTCTCTTTTTTTTTTTTTTTTTTCCATTGCTATGAACAAATTCTCTTTCCTTCACTGGATGGATGTGGGGGGTGGCTCCTTCTCTTTCAGTTGCATGAGAGCATGAGAGATTTTTGAAATCAATGGGGAAAGAAAAAAAAAATAAAGAGGATAAATGGAGAAGCTTAGTGGGTCATTTGCTCTACCTTCTGCCCTGCACAAAACTGTTCTTTTTAATATATTTTCCAGTATTTTGTCAAGTACCATATTAACTTTCTCAGCATGTTTCCATTCCCAGATTATTGTGCTCAGCTCATAGAACATCAACACCAGAGCACATTTCCTGATGTTCAACAAACTTCCCTTAGTAAAATTTTATGTTATTTCTTTTAAAATCTGCATTCCCACCTCGCCTAAATCTGACCAACTAGGGACAGGAAAACATAACTCTATCTGTCTTTCACCCTACTGTGCTTTCCAGTTTTCTCCTGTTTGTATCTGGCATTTCCCACCATAACTTGGCTTCACTAGAGGTTTTGGATGTCTCTTTCTCTTTGAACTCAGCAGCAGCCAGTCCCTGGTGACTCGTTTAAAGTTCACCCATTGAAGTGAATGCCCATAGCAGTTGGTTTCCTGTGCTATCAGCCAAGTGCTTTGCTTATGGAAACAAAATGAGGAAACAAAATGTACAGCACAATCTTAGCACAACACCTCTGTGGAGATTACCAAATCTACAGAAGCTTGAGGGTTTAGAAGTGATGCATTTTCATCCCGTCTGTATCACATATGTGCGTAAGTGCCACAAATCGTTTTATGCCCCTATCACTTAGGGCGTAAGTGCCCAACAGTGACACCCTCAGCTCCCAGGAATGTTGGTGGGAAAGGAGGGCAAGAAGCCCTTACCAGATAGGGCCCAACGATTGCAATACTTAACTGGCAGATTTCAAGAGGCACATGGCTCTTCGTAGCCTTCCATGCAGCTCTCCTCCCCCAGGGTACCAGGGATCATACGCTGTCCTGACATCAGCTCTTCAGTCATCCTGAAGAGGAAGAGAGAGGAGAAAGAATTACACCTATAAAATCGCTATTTACACCCATAAAGTTGTTCTTTGAAACCTGGACAAAGGCAGGCTCATACTCACCCCTCATTCCACACATTCTTCGCACATGACACTTCCGTGCTCCGTCCACCCACCGCTCCTGTTTTTGCTGTTTTTACAGGAAGACGGTCCAGCACTGCAGTCCCCTCCCTTGCTGCCACACAGAGAGCAGGATGTCTCTGGGTGGCAGTGACACTGAGAGAACCAGACTTCTCTAAGCCGGTGACAGACTGCAAATGCCAGATTTCTTCCTGAGCTCTGAATAATTCCACTCAGATTGTAACCTTTATTTAGCTGTTTGCATGATGCATTAACTCTTGCTCTGCAAATGACCTCACCAGGCAATTTTTTTTAGTCAAAGCACATTTAAAGGTGAATTCTGTTTTTAAACATGAACAGCTTACATTGCTAGACAGCACGTCTGTGGCAGAACAGACATAAAGATTGAATTGGAACAAGTAAATTCATCTTAAAAATGAACAAACAAACTTGCCATTATTTTAAACCTAACTTATTTTTCCCCCCAGACAGGTCTTAGTTGGCTAGATTTTTTCCATTTGATCTATATTATTTGAAACACTCAAAAAACAAACAGAAAGTAGACCTAGAAAAAAAAAATAAGTCAGATGCAGCAACACAGACTTTGAGGATTCACTTAAAGATTCTAGATGCCACAATTTTTAGATTTGCAGTATAAGACTAGTTAAAGGGAGGTTGCTTTTCACATAGTACTTAAACTTGGGCTATTTTAGGATGTGTTTAGCTGAGCACACACAAAAAAAAATGTTTTTTATCAAATTTAGTCAACTGTAAACTATAAGCAGACAAGAAAAAGACAACTTTTTATAGACATCTGTAACGACATTAAATAAGACCGAGTCTTAGAACAGGGGCCATACCCCCCAAGTATATAACATCTTACCTTACCCATTGCTCACTATCTTCATCAGCTCTTCTGAGGCATCCAGTGAAATATTGCAAGGTGAGCATGGATTCACCCCACTTCTTTCTTTCTTTTTGACTAAACATGCAACAGTCAAGAAATTCTATGAGATCCTAACAGATGCTTTGAAATGTAGCAAGTTTGTCATTTTATTGATGAGTTAATTCTTTTCTCAGCTTGCTAATTCATCACAGTTGCAGAACCAGCAGGGTGTCCACCTCTGCAGAATGCATCTTTATGCATCTGGAAATTATAACATTCTCCTTTATGAAAATTGTTGCCAGTTTTAAATCTACCAGTTATGGGATCTCAGTTTGTTCCTGTACGGAACCACAAACACCCAGACTCAATGGCTGTCATGGGCTCTTTCTTTATTATCACAGAATCACAGAATTTCTAGGTTGGAAGAGACCTCAAGATCATCGAGTCCAACCTCTAACCTAACACGAACAGTCCCCACTAAACCATATCCCTAAGCTCTACATCTAAACGTCTTTTGAAGACTTCCAGGGATGGTGACTCCACCACCTCCCTGGGCAGCCTGTTCCAATGCCTCAAAACCCTTTCAGTAAAGAAGCTCTTCCTAACATCTAACCTAAAACTCCCCTGGCGCAACTTTAGCCCGTTCCCCCTCGTCCTGTCACCAGGCACATGGGAGAACAGACCAACCCCCACCTCTCTACAGCCTCCTTTAAGGTACCTGTAGAGAGCAATAAGGTCGCCCCTGAGCCTCCTCTTCTCCAGGCTGAACAAGCCCAGCTCCCTCAGCCGCTCCTCGTAGGACTTGTTCTCCAGGCCCCTCACCAGCTTCGTCTCCCTTCTTTGGACCCGCTCAAGCACCTCCATGTCCTTCTTGTAGCGAGGGGCCCAATTATTATCAAGACAAACCACTACTACAACAGTCTGATCTCCTCTGTAACAGAAACTAAAGAATTTCAATCATTTCTAGTGAAACACAGAGCTTCTGCTGGAGCTACAACACTCATTTTATAAAGCTACCTCATACCATGCAACAGGATATGATGGGAAACCCGTCACATCCTTAGAGAAGTTGTTCCAATGGTTAGTTAACCTCATTCTTAAAACTTCGTTCTTGATTTGCAATCATAGCGTGCCTGCTTTGGTTTTCCCACCTCATCAGGCTGTTCCAACACACAAATAAATAGCCAGTGAAATGATTTCCTAAAACTGTTATTGCAGGAGTCACAAATCAATGCATTTCATTAGAGGCACACAGTGTGATCTAATAAGCTGGCTGACAGCCCAAATTCCTGGTTCTGTACTTGGCTGTGACACATAATTTTCCCTTCTTATAGGCCAAGTCATTAGTGGTACGTTTACACTGCAGTCAAAGCAGTGGCAGGGATGAGGAGTAAACATTTGGTGCTTGTTTTAATTGGGTGTTGCTAGCAATTTCACTCCAGCAGCAAGGAGCACAATGTAGGATACAAACCTCAGTCCAGAGAGATAGTAAATTAAGCTGTGCTGAATTCCACATTGCAATGGCTAGACGGATAGGTCAAAAATAGCTTGCTTCCTTACACTAAAAAGTTGGGTCTTCACAGTCATTCCTACAGACACAAATCTATAGCACAGCTGATCCTCATTGATGTTGGAATCAGCATAAAGCTGGTGGGAAATAGACATTATTTTGATAATGAAAAATCTCAGGGATCTAAATTTAGTATGTTCACAGAGTGCACTGCATATGTAGGTGATCTTGGTTTCAAAGTAGCATTTAATGCCAGTTTTAAAGAAAAAAAAATAATGAAACAGTACAGTTGAAATATATTGCATTTGGGTTTCATGTATGGAAATGGGTAAGTCAAAGTAATAGTTCTGAGCTTTGATTTATATTTTCCTGCATTTCACTATGGTGAATCAGAATGAGAGCCAGAGGAAGCCCCCAAAGATCACTTAATCAGTCCATCTGTATCAACATGATATAGGCACCATGAAGACCTTCAAGCCTACAGTTAACATTTTTGGTAAGGCAGATACTTCTACATCCTGGATTTAAATCAGTCTATTCCCTTGTAAGATCTTGATTTCAACCTATACAAAATATCCAACAGAAAATTTCAGTATCTCTGCTAAATGCCTAAGGTGTCCATCCCACATACGAATTATTTACTCACGTGGATTGTCCCCTGGAGGTCATTGAAGCTACATGGTTTACTAAAGTTATACTCATGAGCTAGCACTTGAGGAACCAATGCTTCAAAGGCAGACTCTAAGCTAGCAGGAGAGGTTTGGAAATCAAAAAGAGTGAGTAAGACAGAGAGTTAGCTTTTTTGAGGTGAGGCGTGGGAGGTGTTTTCGTTCTTTAGCTATTAAAAACTCCTTGCTTTGGCATTCGAAAAGAGAAAAAAGAAAAAAAAAAAAAAAAAAAGAGAGAGAGAGAGAGAGAGAACTGGGAAAGGGAGGATTCATGAATAAGGAGGCAGCATGGCAAGAGGCACAGCGACCTGGGCAGCCAGAAGGCATGAGGGAGTTTCTCAGGCTGGTTTCCCTGACAGAACAGTGTTGGCAGTAAGTGCAGGTCAGAGGAGATGAGGTCAAAGATGTCGGTCTAAAGGGAATAATAAAAGCACCCTTCTTTAGAGCTCTGAGCAGAGGTTATATTACAGAGAGTGCTTTGAAAGCACCCGTGCTAAATATTGAAATTTGATGTTTTGTCTTTCTGGACGTCCTGGTAATAATCCAGGATTCAGGCCTGAGGGCTTCTCTTTATCCCAGACTTAATGAGGATTTCAGATCCCTCTCCATCCCCTTGTGGTGCTTTGGAGCTACCTCTTCACAGATGGTCTTGATGCTGAGCACCATCCTCATGCCTCCCCCACCCCTGCACACTGTAGCAGGAGCACGGCAAGGCTGCCTGCATAGTGGGCAGGGGACTGGGCCTGAACACAGGGTGAATGTGGCACAAGCTTGGGCCCCCAGCTCTGCACCATAGCAGGCCTGGGTGCAGCAGGCAGTGTTGTTTGAAGGCCTCCAGGGGAGAAACAGGGCTCCGTGACCAGCACTCTTTTGCGTGCACTTCCCCACCAGCAGCATGGGCCTCAGGGCCCAGCTGCAGCACGGGGCGCCCAGGCTTCCCCACGCGTCCAGGGGGAAGGGAGTTCCCCGCTGGTGGAAACGGAAACGAGAAGTATTTTGGAGACAGCACATGAAGAGCTTGGGCGTCTCCCTCTTCTCTCCTGCATTTTTCTCCCCTCCCTGCAGCCAGATTTCCGGGTGTCAGAGCTCCCCCCTGCCCTCCCGACAAGCCCAGCAGCAGCATGAGCAAGGCCACTGCCTCCTGCCCCTCCTGGGCCGGGGCGAGGTGCCCTGCAGCCACTGCCCAGCCCTACACACAAGTAGAGGGTAACCCGGGGCCCTTGGCGTTACTATTTCCATCAGTCACGTTGTTAAAAAAAAAACAACAACAACAACAACAAAAAAAAAAAAAAAAAAAAAAAAAAAAAACCTATTAAACAACTGTCCTTCCCCCAGTATTGTTTCTGAGTAGGCTCAAGCTGCAATTACTCAAAGGCTCATTATTTAGCCAGATACAGGGCGTGGATTTTGTGATAGATGGCAAAGGATGCCTTCCTGACAGAAAAAAAAAATAATAATAATAATAAAAAATTTAGAGGGAGATGTTGCTAAGAGGGGCACTTTTTTAACAGAAAACGTCATTGAGATTTCTTTTTTTTTTTTAATATGGATAAAACAGAATATTCCCTTGCCAGCCTTGCTCTCAAAAACATCCAAGTGGTTTTGACTGAAATTAAAAACAAAACCAAAAAGATCGCAATAAAACAGCTGAAACAGACGTGAGCTAGGAAATGTTGGCTCGGAGTCTGGCAAAGTCAAAAGCAACCGAAGCCAAATCTTGTGATGGGTTGTGTCAAGTGACTATAATAAAGAGACAATGCTACTAGCAATGTCTTGCATGTTCTGCACACCATTAACATATTATTTCACCATTAGCTTTTCCCATGTAGCCAAGGATTATAATTGCTGAGCTTTACAGCAAAGTATTAAGCGTTGTGGCTAAACAGCTTGACAAAACACAAATTATTTGCCATCACCTGAACAGAGTAAGCATGAAGGAAGGAGAACATTTTGCTAGCGTGCAACCAAGGGCAGCGCTTAGAGAAATTAGGTCAGGCAGAATGGAAAGAAAACTTCAGAAATCAGAAACCTCTTCCAAAGAGAGAAATGTAGTCGTCTGTGGAACAGTCTCTCATGGGAAGCAATGGATGCCCGGTGCTTAAGTCATATGCAACCAAACTGGATAATGCACTGGAAAATGTACTGTAGGCAAGAATTTTGCAGAAACTGGGCTGAGCAAGAATGTGAGAAGATGGATTGGATGAGCTAGCAAGATTTTCTCTGTAATTCTTTTCTTTTCTTTTCTTTTCTTTTCTTTTCTTTTCTTTTCTTTTCTTTTCTTTTCTTTTCTTTTCTTTTCTTTTCTTTTCTTTTCTTTCTTTCTTTTCTTTTCTTTCTTTTCTTTTTCTTTTCTTTTCTTTTTCTTTTCTTTCTTTCTTTCTTCTTTTCTTTCTTTCTTTTCTTTCTTTTCTTCTTTCTTTTCTTTCTTTTCTTTTCCTTTCTTTCCTTTCCTTTCCTTTCCTTTCCTTTCCTTTCCTTTCCTTTCCTTTCCTTTTCCTTTCCTTTCCTTTCCTTTCCTTTCCTTTCCTTTCCTTTCCTTTCCTTTCCTTTCCTTTCCTTTCCTTTCCTTTCCTTTCCCTTCTCTCTTTCTTTCTCTCTTTCTCTCTTTCCTTTTCCTTTTCCTTTTCCTTTTCCTTTTCCTTTTCCTTTTCCTTTTCCTTTTCCTTTTCCTTTTCCTTTTCCTTTTCCTTTCTTTTTTTCTTTTTTTCTTTTTTTCTTTTTTTTTCTTTTTTCCTTTTCTTTTTTTCCTCTTATTGGCTGTAGTTGGCATTGCTTGAAATTCCTTCACAGGAGTTGCAGAATCTCTGAACGAGGCAAAAGATGGGACTGGAGAGGGAGAGGTGGGTGTGTTCATTGGATGACACAGGAGAAAAAAAAAAATAGAAGAAGCTTGCAGCCTTGCAGAGGCTGTGGAACTAGAAAGACTGGCTGGAGAGAACAGGAGGGAAAACAGCTCAGAGGAGCTGCTCCCTCTGGGCTGATACTTGTGCAGCTGAGCTACACTAAGAACACCATGATTGAGGACTAGGGGTTAGGAAAATGGTGAAGAGGGCAGTCTTGAGAGAATTGTGACCATAATTAAACAAGTTGTGGTCACTTGTTATCAGTCGGCAGCACTGGGCAAGAAATAGGAAGACTCAGCTCTAGCTCTCTGCCCAATTTTTAAGCTAACAGAACATTTAATTGGGGATTCTCTCCCACCCTCTTTCTAAAGCAATAAAGAGTTTTCTGTTCTGCATTGTTTTTAAATTGTCTTTCTGAGATTTGGTTTGCAACAGATTGTAGAGCTGCTCTTTCGCTCCCTCATTAACCCAGTGCTGGACACAACAAACATCCTGCTCTGATTTGTCCTGAGGCCTCACACACATCTTTAACTTTGCATCATACTTTCAAAATCCCTAACAGTTCAGTTTATGGCTGGATGCAGTCATAGGTCAGCTGTTCCCCTCTAATGAGACTCAAAGCAGGTCACCGGCCCATGCTACAACCCTTTACTGCTCCTGTAAGTGTACCTGTGATTCAATCCTAAGGATGCCCTGGCTCTGCTAGTGGGCACCTGAAGTTCAAAGCAATTCTCAGTCAACCCTAGAAAAGTAAATCTGTCCTACTATACTTTTACTATTCCAGCCTTGAAATATTTTCTGATTTGGGCTAAAGCAGCAGTCCAGAATAACACTTCCCTCTGTGATTGTCATGCTCTGGGTTTGGGCAGACAACAATGTTTGAAGAACAATATTTCTAAGATTCTCAATGAAACCATTCTGGAATTTAGTGGTGTTTCCTTCCATTCCCAGTCTATTACAGACCTAAATGTTTTTTTCACAGCTTTGTTGGAAAATTAAACTATGGAATGACTGAAACTCCCCACAATCCTTTGTAGCCACTTTTACAGCTAGTTTACTCTCAACACTGAAGATCTGGAGAGTGTTCTTTTAAAGGTTCAACTGAAGTCCTCCAGAAGCTTTGAGATCCTTTGGGATGGAAGAGCTACTGAAGGCTTTTTGTTATTGCTAAAGAAGAACACATGGGTCACAGATCAAAGCTGGTGAGGCACAGTGAGGCCGAGCCTGCACCAATTGGTGTCTTGGGGCTGTATCTTGTCAAACTGAAGCAGGAATGTCAGAGAAGCTGCACCTCCAATCTGGCCTTCCGTACTGTATTTCCTCATGGGAAGATTCCTCTACTACTCCTTCTCCACCTCCTCACTCCCAGGCTTTCAGAGGCCCTGACTCAGACACCCAGTTCACTACTGCACAGCCAAAATGTACATCCAGGGAAAGTGATGTGAGACCTGCAGGACCTCAGCCAGCTTATTCCATCACTGCTTGGAAAACAGCCATGGCTTGGAATGCCTACATCCACCCCCAAAAAGCTTCTCTCTTTTATTCTGAGCCCCCACAGCCACCCTTGGCTTCCAGGTTATGTGTAGGCACTGAGACTTCCCACAGAAGAGAGCAGAAGGGAGTGCAACTTCCATCCCAACCTGGAGGTGGAGAGATTTAATCAAGCACATTCCACACAGCTTAGGGCTCCCAGCAAAGGTGGTGGAGAATAATAAGCCTCGTTCTGATCCTAAAGACTTTCTCACAGAGACTTTCCCTATAGTCATCACACTCTTCAGGGACACAGGTTCACCTGCTGGACACAGCAGAAGCCTGATCTAACGCTCTGCAAATCATTCACCTTCAGGCTCTCTCCAGCTCACACAGAGCCCATGGCTTCTGTTACATCCCTGTCTTTTTAGGATGACATCCAAGCTGCACTGAAAGACTTTGAATGGTGAGGAGCTTAAGTTCCTAAACTGTCCCCCTGGCTAACCAGCCTCACAACTTGGAGTGCACACCCTTTTTCTAGATGGATTTCAACTGCCAGCCACTGAAATGACTTCTGTGTTAGTAAGCTAAACAGTTCAGGCCATGCACTCAAA